GACCATGTAACTGTCCTATGACTGGACGTCTCGCCAAAGTGTAGCACCCACAAAGGTCCCGTTTCTCCTAGAATACGAAGAAAAGTTGTCGCTGGTAGAACTCTCGATAACCGATGCCCGAAGAAATTGTTAACTCGAGGTTGCATCTGATGTATTAAAAGTACAAACAAACAAACAAACAAATAAATAACTGTCAGTGCACAGCACATGTACAATGACATTGGTTGAGCTTCATCAGTGCAACCCACTAACACAATACAACTCATAGTGAAGACCCCCTCCCAGGAAAAAATATCCCTAATCCAATAAATCATATTAACAAACACCCAGTCCCATTACACCAGTGTGAAAATGTTACACGTTGTGCCGGCCCTTCAAGTTCATCGTACTACTTAGTTATGATGTTATTTTGCTATCAGGAGTGTGACAGATAAAAACTGTTCTTCAGCCTGTTTGCGCGGCTGGCTATACTTCTATATCTCCTTCCCGATGGTAGGAAGGTAAAGAACTGCTGACCAGGGTGAGTTGTCCCTGAGGATTTTCCTCACTCTTCCAAGGCAGCAAGCTCTAGAGATCTCTTCTAGTGGTGCCAGGGGGCAGCCCACAATGTTTTGTACTGTGCTCACCACTCTCTGCAATGTCTTTCTATCTGCGGCTGTCAAACCAGCGTGTCATACTGTGATGCAATATGTGAGGACGCTTTCTATTGTGGACCAGTAAAAGGAGGTCATCAGTTGTTGTTCCACCCTGTTTTTATGCAAGACCCTAAGGAACTAGAATCTCTGTTGGGCCTTCCTGGCCACAGGGATTGTGCTGTTTTTCCAGGTGAGGTCTTTGCTGAGATGGACTCCCAGGAATTTAGAGGAGGAGAGGATTCATGAACTTTGAGTTATAATGGAAAAGGCAGTTGCAATGGGGCACTCTACTCAGTCAACTGACTTAATTTAAATAATTCATTCTTATGAACCCCAATCCTCTACTCTATTAAGTTTCTTCTTGTGCCATATCCGTCATGGCGATTATGTTGGCGATCCGTCATCGGAAGTTGGTGACCCTTTTAGATTTAGGAGACTCAAACCAACAAGCAGGCTTCCATGTTTTGGAAGGATATAAAATGTAATCTTTTAAAGAGAAATAAATAATTATGCAGAATGATTATGGCTGATGTTTATGGATTGTGCTGTTTTTGTACAGAGCACATTTTAGTACGGTATATTTTCAGCCTTTCACTTCTTATTCTTTAAAAGCATCTGGATCCTCCAACAGTAGAAACAACTCTCCAGAAAGTACTCTTATACAAATATTTTTTTTAATAAGTTAGTCTAATAAGATAGGATAGCAGAGAAAATTTTAGTCCTGTGTATGCTTACAGAGGTGAAACTCCCCTGAACTCTGTGCGCTTCTGATCAGGCTTGAGCCGAAATTTGAGTGGATTCTAAAGTATTCCAGAACTCCCCCTACTTCCTATGTGTTTGCTAGAAAAACAACATAATGCCCTTTTGCTTGAATAAACAAAAATGAGATGGATGAGGTAGCTTCTGAAACATTGGGGGAAAGGAGGAGCCCTTGGGTAATTCTTGATAGTGCCAAGTGTTAAATTTGGTGAGGAATCTAATTCTACGTGCATCAGTTACTGCTGCAACTTTTTCCTTTTCTTATTTATCCTCTGGAAAAATACTCTCCCAACATTTCTTTGATTGATCCATTATAGACAGGAATTCCTGGCTTCACAAGATAAACTTCAACTCGTGTACCTGGCTCCTGAGGTGGCATGTATAAAAGCCCACTAAATGAACAGCACATGGAAAGGAATGAGATTAATGGGAAACAGAAGACTGGTTTAGCAGATCTTTGTGTTGTTGAAACAGCTTCATATCACATTTTTCCATTTGTGTGGGGAAGTGCCACCAGGAAGAAATTTAAATGGACTTGCCTAGCATACATTTAGACTGCTGATATATACCATTAGTGGGATAATTATTACATATTGAGAGATATTGCTTTAAAGTGTGATGATTGGGAATCTATGCTTATGCACCCATATGTACAGTACTTAAGAATATATAAAACTGTTAATTTGCATCATCACAGATTCCTCTTATCCATGTACTCTCCCCCCCGCCCTTCTGACGCTTCCATATTCAGCTGCTGTTGATTTTCTGGAAGGTTTTATTTCTAGAAGGCTCAGTAAGTCGTCTCAGTACAAAGACCAAATATGAACTGATCTAGTTTTTCTTCTCACAAAACTATTCAAACCTTTGTTGTCAGAGTACAACATATGTACAATGAGATTGGCTGAGCCTCCCTTCATGCTTCCCCCTCTCCCCCCAACACAATATAACCAACAGTGAAAGACAAAAAATCCCTAGCCCAGTGAATCCTACTAACAAATACCCCAGTCCTATTGCACTCTGTGAACTTATTGCATGTCACGCCGCCCCCACAAGTCAATTGTACTATATTGTTGTAGTTATAAAACTACCCTGTGAATGAGTTACATTGGCATTTCTAATATGAAGCTGACTTTCAGCCATCTAATAAACTAAATGCAAGGACATTTAACATAGACCAAAGAAAGTTATTTGCTCAACGTGTAATTAACTTGTGGAATTAATTGCTAAAACTGTGATGATGGCCACTAACTTGGATCATTTTAAAAGAGGATTATATAAATGCATGGAGGGGAGCTCTGTCAGTGTTACCGTCAACCTAGGGCAGCAGGCCTCCAAATATCAGGTGCAGAGCAATAATGGTGAAAGAATGTCCCTGTCTCCACCTTTCAGGTACTTCATAGACATTTGGTTGGCCTTTTAGGAGACAAGATGTTGAACTAAAGTAGTTCTTGAATTTATTATAACAATCAATCTTCCTTCTACTTTCAGTGTAAGCATGCATAAAAGATTGCATATATTTTCAGAAAGTTTAACTCTATAAATGTGCCTTTTATTATGTGAGAGCTTTATAGGACGGTTTTATTTACTTCCTGTTTTGAGTTGGAATTATATTGAAAGTTTTTTTAAAAAATTTGATTACTGCAAGTTGTTCTTGGGCAATTATGCTAATAAGTAATTGGCCTCCCGTTATTTCTGTTTTGTGAAAACATTGCATTAATGCCCACTCCTAAAGATATTGCAGTTTTTTCCATATATTTTCAACTATTAGCTGATTATTTTATATCATTTGTCACATTTGTCTAAGAGCTTGTTAGCATGGGGACTAATATTGAACAAAGCAAATCAGTATTTTTGCTGGACCTTGGGCATAACTTAAAATTGTATTTATTTAATGGGTGACCATTATGATTACAGTTACACATGTTTATATTTTCAGTATTTGAAGTCACTGATACCTACTGTGTGAGTATGAGAGTGTATTGGAAGAATGGATAAAATTTTGGTTATACAGTGCCAGATTGCACTGCCTTATACATGACCAAACACATTGTTTTCAGTACTGTATTACATAAAATAAGTCTGTTAATATGCAAAATCTTTATAGTGATCTGTACTTTTTAATCAGGTTTATTGCTAATAATTGTTGTAGATTTTTAA